CCAGAACGACTGGACAGCAAGGTACCTCAAGCTTAGTGACAACCAACACATACCACTGAATTCTCAAATGGCTGAAAACCTGCCGACGTGCTTCTTTCGGCACAGCCAGTGAGTTAATAATCTTTTCAGAAGACACAACGAACTTCAGTATCATTAGAGGGCTGGCCATTGGCCTCAAAACAACCATGAAATGAAAAAGAAAGGAGACGGCATGTTTATTAGTTACGCCATTGATGAATATGGTTAAACATATACAGCATATTAAACCTCGGCAAAACATAAATGGCATGTCTTTTCCTATTCTTTTTAATCAAATTTTCAGAAATTTAAATTATAATTGCAATTATATACATTTATGTTTTAAGCAATTCATATTTTAATTAATCATAATTAGTCAACACCACAACTGTCGTACTGACGAAGCTCAATTGCGGTGCTGAATAAGTGTGTACGACTTCATGGACTGAAACATTCCTGTCCCGTTGACTAATTTTTGCATATTACATTTTGGATCATTACAAACTTCATTATAATTAAGAAATGGCCAGATAGCTGACAAAAGGCTGTATTAATGATCCCACCCGCAAACTCTGCAGTGGCTGTTTTTACAGCTAAAGGATGAAACACAGAGACTGCTCTTCGCATGCCCACTGATACATGCGATAATTAGACCAATCCCTTATCTCTGATCCCAACATTAACATGCAAAACTCCTTAAAAAGTGAGCAAATTTTCGTTGGCTAAATGCGATGTTAGATGAACATCGTTAAAACTGACGCCAACCAAATATGCTTAGTGGAAAGAAGCTAATTCGATAAGCTGAAGAAAACTGAGGCTAACTGGAAGCTCTGTGACTCATTTCAAAGCACAACAACAAAGGAACGAGTGGAAAGTTGGTTAGGAAAGGAGAAAGAACAAGCTCACAACACGTCCATCGCCGCTACCCAAGTCGACAAGAGGAGAGACTTGGCTGGGACATTTCGACAGCGCCTTGGCCACATTGCTCAGCTGTTGTGGTGTTGCTGGAACATAGGGAATGCAGATGCTACGTAGTGCCGGAGTAACAAACGGTACACAAATGGCCGTTATCGCGGTGGCACCAGTGGCCAGAGCACCAGCTATGACCAGTCCGGCAAATCCCATGTTCCTCCTGTAAAACACACAATTTGGCCCACAATCAACAGGGGCTCAGCCAAAGTCGTTTTACAAATCATATAATCCATGCCAAAACATTCAGCACGTCTAACTGGAAGCAACATGGTGGGGTACTACTCAATACACAATCAGAGATATCCCGAAATTCTGCAAAGTGATTCTCTCCGGAGAAAAGGTAATCCCTCCAGGAGGCAACCGAATCATCAGTTGCGTGGCCACTAGGCGATGCAGCACCGATCAAAAAAACTGGAAAAGTTGCTAGCTGGAGTAACTTATAATCGATTCAAAGTATTCCAAGTATCTAATCGGGATCAGA